ACCTACCCTGTGTGTAAGGAGAAGGAAGAAACGAATGGGAAGTCAATGACAGGCATCATGAATGCAGTCAGCAAGTGCCGTTCCTATTTCTCGAAGTGGTGTGCTGACCGGTCAGGTTCTACCTTTCTCGGCTTCACATTCTCGAGAGGTTTCGGTGCTGGTCGTACTGATGCCCCAGGTCGGGGTCACGACAGCCCAGGGCGGGCTGAGGTGACTTGTTGCCACTGCAATGCTCCCCACGTGGAACCGCCTGCAGACCAACGATTCCTACACACAAAGAAAGGAACGATTGATCTCTGGCAACCACACAAACTGCATGTCTCTCATGTGTGCGGCAAGAGATTCAGTACCGATGTACCGACCCTTGGACGCATTCCAGACTCTCACCAGTCTGCCGCGGATATGCTGAGTCAAGGGCAACCTGCTGGTGTTGTGGAGGCTTCAGATCAGCCCGACGCTGCTGGTCCCTCTTGCTCGACGGACGAATCGGATCGACACACGCCAAACGATCCACAAACACACAATGGCCATCCTGCAGGACAAACAAACCAACACACTGGCCATGATCCGTTTGCATCTCCTGTGCAGTCTGATGTGCAGATACCTGTTCCACTCGAGGAGGGAGATCCAACCTTCTGGCTGCAACACAAGCGACTAGCACACCTCAATCGCCGTGACATGGATCTGCTCAGAAAAGACCTCGGTGAAGGACTGCCTGTGTTCGACATCCCTCCATCCGACTGCAAATGCGTTGGGTGCCTGAAGGGCAAAATAACAGAGAATCCACACAATGAACCAGGCACAAGGGCGACACGCAAGCGTCAACTGGTGCATTGCGACATCTCCGGACAACATCGAAAATCGGTTCTCAATGGCTATCAATACTTCATGGTCTTTGTGGACGATTATACTCGTCGTGTGTCTGTGATACCTCTCAAGCGTCGAAGCGATGCAGGCACAGGCCTGAGACGATACATCGCTGAGGTCGGACACATCGAGGAGCTGAGATGTGACGGAGCCAAAGAGCTAGCTGAAGGCAATCTGCTCCATGCAGCCGCCCAGTTCGGAATCGCCAAATCGTTCAGTGTCCCGCACGTCCATGAGCAGAATGGCGTGGCTGAGAGGATGATACAAACGCTGAACAACACGGCAACATCGATGCTCGCAACGGCGAATCTGCCGGGGGGCTTCTGGCCGTGGGCTGTGCAAACAGCCGCATATGTGCGCAATCGGTGTCCCTGCAGAAGCAACGAAGGGAACAAAACACCATACGAAATGTGGAAGAACTTCAAACCTGACCTGCGCAAACTGCGTGTGTTTGGATGTGTAGCCTACCCCTTTGTGCGGAAGCATGAGCGAGCCACGAAGTTCAGTCCCAAGTGCGACGCAGCGATCTTCGTTGGCTATCATCCACAGATGAAGGACGGATACCTCTTCTGGATACCGTCGAAAAGACAAATAAAGGTCACAAACACAGCCACCTTCTTTGAACATATGTTCAATCAACAGAAGGGTGTCAATCCATACTTCCTACCGGTTCGAGAGGGGGAAGGAAATGGCGACACACATGGGCAGGACGCTCACGAAGCGCCAGACGCCCAAGAAGCGCAAGACGCTCAAGACCAGCAGCCCATCGATGAAGACGCCTTTGACGCACCGCCACTGCCACAAGTAGCCCCCGAAGGGCCACTCATGCAGGGAGCTGACGAGCACAAACTCGTTCAAGCACCAAATCCCCATGAGAGTGAGCAGATGGACGGTCAGGCGCACGACGAGGGCATGCACAAGGGTCAGAACGATGCGACAGACCACGAACAAGAGCCTGGGCAAGAAGATGACGACTTGGCCGTTGATGTGGAAGGAAATTCAATCAACAAAGAGCCACAAGGTCTTCGTAGATCTGGTCGTAAGCGCCAATGGAATACACAAATTGGACGCGACTTCATATCTGCCCATGCGGACGCCGAGAGCGAACCGGCAAAAAGATCGGTACTCAAAGAGCGGATCTGGTGCCTCTTTGGTGTTGTTGAGGATGCGGTCGATACATGGACTACTCAATACGCCCGTGGGCCTGCACGCAAACAAAGACGCAAAGACAAAGACATGTGCTTCCTGTCTGGCAAAACCAACGAGAGAGTGGTTGCCTACGTGACAGATGATGACGACGGCGTGTATCTCTTTATTGGAGATGAGCCGCGAACGCACAAAGAGGCCATGACCTGCAAAGACAGAAAGGAATGGCAGAAAGCAAGCGACAAAGAGATGACATCGATGGATGAGAAAGGTGTCTATGTGTACGTACCACGATCACAAGCAACGGGGAAGATACTGCCCAGCAAGTGGGTCTTCACTCGCAAGCCTGACAAGTTCAAGGCACGTATCGTGATCAAGGGATACGCACAAGACCCAAAGGAAGTGACACAGACCTTCTCACCCACACTGTCACAAGTCGCTATACGTGTCTTCCTTGTCTTGGTTCTCTTAGCTGATAGGTCGCTATATCAATGCGATGTTGATGTGGCGTTCCTCAACTCCCCTCTAGACCGACCTGTCTTCATGAACTGCCCAGAAGGATACGAGAAGCCCGGCATGGTGTGGATGCTCCTGAAAGCTCTCTACGGTCTCAAGGAAGCACCGAGGGCCTGGCACGTCACTCTGGTGGACTACCTGAGAAGCATCGGTTTCACACAGAGCAGCGTCGAGCCGTGCATCTTCACACATGACGAGAGGGGCTTATGGGTGGTGGTTGTCGTGGACGACATGCTCTACGCACCTGCAGTGGGTCGAGAGGCTGACGCCGAGGGGTTCAAGCAGCAGCTGCACGGCAAGTTCGGCATCAAGGACCTCGGGCATCCCGAGAGATTCCTGGGCATGAATGTCACCTACGACAAGCAAGAAGGCATCCTGGCACTCTCACAAGAGAAGTACGTGCAGAAGCTCATCGAGAGGTTCAACATGTGTGATCGAAGGGGAGAGATACCTTGCCAAGGAGCGAAGACGCCCTTGCCGTCTGGTGTCAAGCTCTCCAAGACGATGGAACCAACAACAAAGGAGCAGCACGACCACATGAGCAAAGTGCCATATCGCGAGGCTGTCGGCAGCTTGCTGTATTCTGCAGTGACGCTCAGACCCGACATCGCCTACGCAGTCAAGGAATGCGCCATGTACTGCAACTGTGCTGGCAAGCGCCATTGGGAGGCTATCAAACACATCATCCGGTACCTGAGGGAGACAGCGATAAGAGCGTTGACCTTCAGGAGACCAGCAGACAAGAGCGTGAAGATTCTCGCCTATGCTGATTCCAGCCATGCTGACCTGGAGAATGGCAGGAGCACGGGAGGCTACGTGATCTACCTGTGCGGCAATCCCGTCATCTGGCGGTGCAAGAACCAGCCAATCGTCGCGGCGAGCACCACTGAAGCTGAGTACATCGAAGCCAGCGAGTGTGCGCGTGAGATTGTTCACATTCAGCAGCTCTTACAGGCATTCGGCACCAAGTCGGAGAGAACGACAATCCTGGTGGACAACAGAGGAGCACAATCAGTCTCCTACAACGCAGAGATGTCTGATAGGACCAAGGCCATCCGTGTCAGGTATCACCTGGTGCGCGAGAAGGTCGAGGCGGGCGAGGTGGAGGTTGGTTGGATCCCATCCGCTGAGAACGTGGCAGATGTGCTCACCAAGAACCTGCCTGCAGGCAAGCACACACCAGTGACAGAGAAGCTGTTCAGCAACCCGTCACACGCCACGCAAGACTTCCTCTTACCAAGGGGCACAAGGATGGATGTGGAATCTGATGAGGAATCCGATATGGATACATGAGGGGAGGCAGAGCAGATGTAGATCTGGCAGATGGCTTCACTCCAGGCTCCGTAGAGGGTCTTGAGTGAGAGGGGGTGTCGAAGGGCACTCAAGCCCTAGCCCAGGCTGCTACGTGAAACGAGCAGCAGAACCA